CTGTCCCTCAGACAATTGGGGGGCCGAAGCACCATAAATAAATAAATAAATAAATAAATAAATAAATATAAAAAATGTAATTAAAAAAATATGCATGCACAGTCTCTCAGCCCCAGAAAAGCCATGGCAAAACCCCTGTGGAGATTTTGCCAAGAAAACCCCAAGAACAAGTAATAACAATAATGAATATCATCATGGCAGGCGGCAGAGGAAGGACCAGCCTGGGGCCGGTCCAAAGGCCTCGGAGGGCCGCATCTGGCCCCTGGACCTTAGGTTGCCTACCCCTGCTCTGAATCAATAAATTACATCATATTGTTTTTAGAATACTGTAGCCCAGCCTTCTCTTAGCTGGTGCGCTACAAATGTGTTCGCTACAGTTCCTATCATCTGCAACCATTGTGGCCAAGGAATAGGAAATAGGGCAATTGATGCCCACAACATGTGAATGACTAGAATGACCAGACTAAAAATGGCTATGGTAATGAAGACCTGGAATTTGACTGTGGCCTTCTAACCCAAAATCTAACTCTGTGTCTGTGGGCAGGTTGCTTTACAAAATGGGCTTCAACAGATTTATGTACACATGACTTTTAGTGCTGCCTACACAATCAATGCCAATGTGATGTTTTTTAACTCAGCCTGGCATTCTATCCAACAAAAGCTTTCACAAATCAGGCAGGAAGAGGCCTTCCTGTACAAATTTCCTGTGTTTCTGATTCAAATATGAACAGTTGTATGGGGGGAGGAGACCTGGTACAAATCAGCCACTTTGGCAGTAGTGCTACTTACTTGATGCTGCAATAATCAAATTAAAAGACTCTACTGTAATTTTTTCAAGGTAGGATATTAAAAAGTATCTGTCTGCACACACACACACACACACACATTGTTAGACATCTATAGTTTTCAACAAAATCTTAACATTGACTACTGTTAAATGTAGGAAGCCTTGGTACGTGCACTTAAAATGTAAGATTTGCTCTACCTGGTTCATGATACTTGAGGCATATTCAGATATCTTTTGTTTTTAGATTCTTTATCGGGCACCATGCTTGAGTACATGGCCAGAAAAAAAAATCTCTACAGTATGATTGCTAATAACATGAAAAACTGGACAAAGATTTTCTCCCTCTCCAATTCATAGATGAGGTGTAGCATCAGCAAGATACCCGTGGACTTTGACCCAAGAGTTGTACATGAAGTTACCTGTGGAGAGGTTCATATAGTCACTGTTGGTGTGCCCTAAAATCTGAATAGATCAACTTCAGCAGTTCAGTCACCACCACAACCTATAATAATTGGGTAAAGATGATGGTGGAACAGAATGGTTTCCAATTGGCAAGGGGGTCAGGCAGGGCTGCATTTTATCACTCTATCTGTTTAACTTGTACACTGAATGTATAATACATAAGGCAGGATGAGACATGGAAGAAGGAGGCATGAAAATTGGAGGAAGGAACAGCAAAAAATTAAGGTATGTGGATCATACCATATTACTAGCAGAAAACAACAAAGATTTGGAACAATTACTGAAGATATTACTGAAATTACTGAAGAAAGTGCAGTCTGAACATTTAAAAAAACAAAAATAATGACCGAAGACACTATACATAACTTTAATTAGATGACATTAAAATGGTTCAAGATTTTTCATACATTGCCTCAATAGTTAAGCAGAGTGGAGACTGCAGCCAAGAAATCAGAAGGACTTGGAAGGGCAGCTATGAAGAAACTAGATAAGATCCTGAAGTGTAAAAATATAGCACTGAATACTAAAGTCAGAATACTCCATGCTATAGTATTCCCCATTTCTATGTATGGTGGTGAAGGCTGGACAGTGAAGAAAGCTGACAGGAAGAAAAGCAAGTCCTTTGAAATGTGATGCTGGAGAAGAGTTCTGTGGATACCATGGACTGCTAAAAAGACAAATGGGTTCTAGAGCAAATAAAGCCAGAACTATCCCTAGAAGCCAAGATGAATAAACTTAGACCATGTTATGGTTTGGATACATCATGAGAAGACAGGGGTCACTAGAAAAGGCAGTTATGCTTGGCAAAATAGAAAGCAGCCGGAAAAGAGGAAGACTACATTGCCGATGGATAGATTCAATCATGGAAACCACAGCCCTAAGTCTGCAAAACCTGAACAGGGCTGTTGAATGCAGGGTGACTTGGAGGTCTCTCATTCATAGGGTCACCATAAGTTGATTTGACTTCAGTTAACTACAACAAATATGATGATAAGCTAAAAGTCCTATGTGAATGGAATATTCTCCAGAGGCAGCCCTAAACAAGGGGGTATTAGGTAGAGGATTTCATTTTCTACTCTTTTCTACTCTACTCTAAACATGGTTATGCATATTGGGCATGCCTAGGCATGTTCACTCAGAATTAAATTCTACTAAGTTGAGTGGGACATACTCACTAGTGAGGGTACTTAGAATTGCAGCCTCAGGCTGAATCGGCACCTTTTGATGCATTGATAATATGGCACTCCACCCTAAATGTGTAGTTTCGGTGGCCTTTTTCTGTTTGAAATAGATTGTTCCTTTTGACTTCTCACAGCAAGTCACCCTTTCTTTTCCTTTGTCAAAATCCTCTTGTTCAACAAAGTGCCCTTTTTACTTTTGCCCATGGGTTATCTCTGGAAAAGTTCTGTAATTTATCAAGCACTTTCAGGGATTAATTCAAAGACATAGCCATGTTAATCTGGAAAATCAGTATGCAAAGAGATCTTTGAACATTTAGGGCTCATGAAGACGGCTCCTAAGGGGCGGCTCTGTGCCACCCCTGGAAGCGGAAGATCGGGGCTGTGGCAACCACATGCTGCAGGCCCAATCCTCCTTTTTCAAAAAACCAAACTGAAGGGTTCTGCCAAAAAATATATATCCAGGAT